GCCACTGTTCTGGAAGAGGAGTGGCTCAAATCCCTCTGGCTTGTTTTTGTCATTCCCAAGATGAAGAGATGCTGTATTGGCCGCAAAAGGAGGCCCTACACCATACTAATAAATGATTGTGGTCTAAAACCAGGTGTTTCAGTTTCATTGTCCAACCCCTGTGTGTATATGTACATATATATCTATACACACAGCTAAAAATATAATATGACCCTGACAGCGATTCACCTAAGAAAGTACAGTATTGACCAATGCATGATGGTAACAAACTTACTGAGCCCAACCATGCCATCAGGTACTCTGTACTCTTCTGTGAGAGACGAGGGACGTACGCTACAGAGAGACAAAGAACAAAAGCAACAGTCATGAAAAACACAAATGCAGTGCGTTCTTATTAACTTATAGTCTGAGGAAAACCCCTTTCAGAAAAGCTGCGCCATTGATTTACGTGCTTAAATTAAACCCATTCAGACAGACATCTTTAGTCGCTGCACCACATCTAGTAATACTTTGAGTGTCCCACCATCCATTATGTATACAAGATGCCACGTTATGCTAAAAATAGTCCAACTTTTAAAAGAGCCCCTGTAAACACGTCTGAATCGAGTCGGTGGAACTTGAAACCGGCCGAGGGCTGAGAAGTTATTCTGGCCTCCAAACACACAGATCTGTTTTTATGCCTCAGTCGAAGCTAGCGCTAGTAACCGCTCTGTTTCGAGCGCACAAGCGGATGGTCTTACCTCTGCTGGGAAAGGGCAGCCAGCTGGGCTCCGATAGCTGTGGATGAGACGGGGATAAAATCATTGCTCTAAAAATACACACACATTTGCTTTTGAGAGTGTGTAGAGAAAGTAAAGGAGCTCGTACACAAGGATGCAGGGTTGTCCCTGTCAGACGCCATCTTCTTACTTTCAGGTTGATCTGAGGGAAAAACACACAAAAACAGCTCAAACACAAACTCATGCGAGTGGGACGGACAGATTAAGAGTGTGTGTGTGTGTCTCACGGCCACCGTACCTCCGTCCTCCAGCGATCGCTTCTGTGACGCGAAGGGATAACTCTCCGATCCACCGTTATTGCTCATGGGGGGTCCTGTAACGTCTCCACCGATCTTTGCAGCGATCTGGAAAACAAGTGGTGGCACCATATTAATACAGCAAAATCAGCATGCTCAAATTTAAGTTAATACACGAACCAAAAGTACTATAAATCTTTTTTTTGTACAGTTTTTTTTTTCTTTTTTTAAATAGGCTACTGTTTATTTTGGACATACACTATTGTTTTAACATCATATTTTTTTTAATACATGGGAAAACAACGTAAAAAACCATGATAAATAATTGTTTTCACATAATTTTAAATACATAGGAAACCAACGTAAAAAAACAAACAAACAAACATGATTAATAAATACAGCAATCAATCTGCACAATGGTTTATGTAAACTACCGTAGTATAGCATCTAAAACAATAGGCATACTAGCAATCAACACATTGAGTAATAAAACTTGTTTGTTTGTTAGCAAATGCTACCATGGTGCTAGAATGTTTTACAGGATATGAACCCAATAATACCAATGTATGGGTCCAAAAACATGGTTAAAACATAGTGCTTTAAGTTGATATGATAATACGACGACAATGCGATGTTAATACGAGGTTTTAAACACTTACAATGGTAGTTGCTTAGACTATCGTGAACGAGCCATGATGGTACATGAATATGGTAGTCAATCTGTACCACGCTGTTTATCAAAGTACCTTAGCATTACCATGTGCTACCGTTACTGAATCATATTATTCGATAGCAAATGTAAAAAAGACCTCGTATATATTAGTTTAGCTCAGAATTACACGCGATCACAGCTCATGCTAACAGATAATTGTCGCGCACGCCGGCTCATGTGCGCGCGGCCCTGCGCGCGCTGCTGACCCACAAACGCGGCCCGTTCGCTCCCGCACTGCGGATCACTCACCTGCCGGGCGCGTTGTACCGCGTCGGCGAACGCGTCTTTCTTAAGTACAACTGCTCCTAGAGCCGCTCCGGGCCCGGGCGGCGGCACCGCGCTGTATTCAGACATGCTGTCCGTGCGGAGGGGTGAAGTGTGCGGGATACGGCGGGGAGGTCTAGGCCGGGCGGAGGTGCGCAGACGCGGGAAGACAAGCGAGACAAACGCATGGGAGGGACAAAAGGCCTGCAGGTCTAAAAGAGCTCTCCTATAGGCGCTCGTGATGAGTGGCAGTTGCGACGGCCAATCAGGAAGCAGCTAGAGGCGGGTGTAGTGTGAGGATTCGACCGTTGAACCAATGAGTGGCGTTGAAAAAAAGACGTTTTTATGGATAGCTGACCAAACGCGACAAACAGAGCTTACCGCTGTGTGAGGCAGCCAATCAGCGTCCAGGAGTTTATGAAACAGACCAATGAGGTTGAAGGAAACGTTGATTGACAATGATGGACGTTTATATCAGCGTATAGGCAGTTTAGGACCGTATAACCTTGTATTTTCTGTGGCTTTTTGTGCGGTAGTGAAATGGAGTTTCCGTATTGCGGAGATGAGCTGATGTTATAATGATGGTAAAGAGCGTAAATGAAGACTCGGTACGATTTAGTTTAGTTTAATTTAATTTAACATACATTCTCTTGCATGCATTCAGATATACTTTAGTTTCCTTTCAAAGAAAACACACGGCATGACAGTAAAAAACAAAACAATCACCATACAATGTTCCTTGTTTTGTTTACATCGAAATAAAAACAGTAGTCCGTGTCTGAATACACAAAATCACTGGAAATGAGAAGGCCCAAACTAACGTTTTTTTCAGTTTCCATACTAACTTTGGGGAAATTTTGAGGAATATTATTTTAAACTAGATTTTATTGGAAGTGGAATTATTTCAGCTTATTATTATTTTAAACTAGCCAGTTGCCTCCAGTTTACTCGCTGCTGAATTAGGGGGAGGGGCATTCTCATTCTAGAGAGAACATGATTGGCTACACCTGTGAGTGCAGGATGATGTCATCAATAATGTTGGTCCGTTTTCCCAGGAGAGAAAGACTGAAAAATGTAAACATGATGTATATCTGCAGAAAGTTTGTGTAGTTAACTGTTAGGAATACAGTAGCATGTGGATTAAAAGAAAATAATAAACGAAAATCCAATTTGAGACTTGAATGAAAGGTGTTTGATGGAAACCTGTGGGTGCAGATTCCAGGCAGGAATCTTTATTGTATTGTAACACATCCAAACAGTCTCTCTGACTGATATACATCTTCTGAAAGTGGTGATAAAGTACAGAGCACGTTGACCAAGAAGTGACCCTAGCAAACAGTCTTTTGCTTTGTTCTATTTCTTGAAGAGTCAAAAATCACAAAAATGAACACACACACACACATATTCTCCCATCTGTGAGTCCATAAGGCTTCTGCTCCAAATTGTAGGCCACAGTACCTCATCCATTGAGAGTAACCGCTATTTAAACAGATCTCCAATTCATGTAAAGTATGTACTTCGCTGGTGTTGGAAAAGTATGTACTTCTGAGTATGTAGTAAGACAGAATGCCATTACCGGGTCATAAATTGTGTTTTGACATCACAGATATACTGTTTGCTTGTGAGCATTAACATCTAGCCAAATTTATTACCTTAAAATTACTTTCGTTAAAATCTAAAATATTCAAAAACTGTTGTGGAAATTTCAGCCTTGCATTTCTTGATACTTTTCTTCATCTGAAAGAGTCGAAAGAGAGCCATTACAAAAGTTATCTCGTAAAGGGTTGGGGGATATTAGCCGAAAAAACCATGCATGAATTCATGCATCGAAGAAAATTTACTGAAAGTAGTATGCATACTATTATAATCTTTGGCATACTATTTTGCAGACCTTATTTAATGAAACACAAGCACAATCAAGTTCAAGTTAACCAATAAAATGTGTTTAATGAATGATACCTTGTGTTTTGACACTATTTAGGGTGGATAGTTTGGAATTTTGGAACTTGAGTTCCGGAATCTACAGTTGAGAATTCCAGAACTCTCGTATTATTGAGATGATGATGATTTTGGAACACACAAGGGTTTCAGCATTAAACTACTGGAGCACAGCTGATAAAACACGTGTTTCTGGAAACAGAGGCACTTTCAGTCGGACTGTGAGTTGAAAAGAAGGAAGTTAGTTTTTTGTCCACTCCTGTAGGGGGTTCAGTAGTGTGTGCACTGGGTTACACACACACACACACACACACACACACACACACACACACACACACACACACACACACACACACACACACACACACACACACACACACACACACACACACACACACACGCTCTCACACACACACACACACTAGGGGTGTTACAATATATTGCAATACAAAAAAGGCAAAAATATGTATCGTGGATAGACACCAAAACAAAAATTACTGTATGTTTTAGTGTCAGTACTGTACTACATTAAACTGCTATATATATATAATGTTGAATATCATGTATAATAATGCAATGGGGGAATATTTGTGGGTCCTGATAATGGCAAATGTTTCTGTTACCAGTAAAAAGTGTCCGGCATTATTTTAAATATATCTAGTCAGTGACAGAATATTCGTCTAAAATAATTCTGTATTTTAAGCTTCAGAATTATGAATATTTTTATTCTTGTGTCACTATTGTCCTGTGCTGTGGGTTTCCAGCACTAAGACTATTCATTTACACCCACAATGTAATATAAAATTTTGCATTTTAATCAACAGTACATTTTTTGTTAACTTTTTATGTCTTGGAGAATCGCAATAATATCGTATCGTGAGTTCAGTATCGTGATATGTATCGAATCGTGACATGAGGGCATCTTTACACCCCTAACACACACACACACACATGCTCACACACACACTCTCCCACACGCAAAGCGTTCATTTTACCGCGTCCAGAGGAACGTACCCTGTAAACCTGAATATCAGGGTCCTGTTGAGCAACAACACACATGAAGAGCACATCATGAACCTCAGGAATCCAGGACTCTCAGATTCTGCATATTTCAGTGTTTTAAAATCAGTTCATCGTTCTTCCTCACATCCGCTGATTTATTTTTGGTGAACATCACTCCAGTGGTCTCATATAGTGTAGTAGGCATAAATAAACTCTGTCTCTGACCTTTCTTGTCCATCGTTCAACAAAAAAAGGATTAGTTTGAGTCTGTTTCTCCGCACACACACATGCCCTGACTCTCTCTCTCTCTCTCTCTCTCTCTCAGGTTCCCACTCCCAGTACTTTCCTCATGTGCTCGTAGACGACGTAGGAGATGCTGACGGCCGGGATGACCTTGAGGAAGTTTGGAGCGATGCCTCGGTAGAGTCCCACCACGCCCTCCTGGGCCACGATGCTCCTGAACAGGGTCAGCATGGACATCTGAGGAGCGCCTTTCATTGACGCTGGGAGAAGAACACAGGAAACATCTTCAAAATCAGGCTTATTTTAGTATCAATAATACATTTCTGATATAGTACGTCAAAATTACGAGAATACAGTCTTCCGTAAAAGTTTTTAGTTACGAAATACGCTCATAAAAAAAAGAAGAAGATTGTATTCTCGTAATTTCGACTTAATTCTCGTCATTATAGATGTATTTATTTTTTTACGTTGCGGTTCAGGGTTTCCGTAATAAACGGTGCTTTATTCCCAAACGTTTTATGCGATATTCGCATATGTAAGTTCCCGACTTGTCTGTGTGTGCGCCCGTCCCTCACCCTGGGCCTGCATGCGTGTTCGGATGAGGGCGAGCGGGTAGGACGCCAGCTGTCCACAGGTGCTGGACACCGTCCCACAGCCCACCAGCACCAGGACACCCGGGTCGGGCGAGCCGTCGGTGTGACGCTGCAGCCAAGCGTTCTTCAGCGTCTGGGAGAGGAGGACAGCGTGAGGAACAGCCTTTATGAGGGAGTTATTCTGAACACACACACGCACGCACACGCACACACACACACGCATACACACACACACACACACACACATACACATACAGACACACAAACACACATACACATACACATACACACACGCACTCGCACACGCACACGCACTCGCACACACACAGACACATGCACATGCACAGACACACACATACACATACAGACACACACACACACACACACACACACACATACACATACAGACACACACACATACACATACACATACGCACACGCACAGACAGAGACACACACACACACACAGACAGAGACACACACACACACACATGTCTGGTCCACTATCTTTGTGGGGACTCTCCATAGACGTAATAGTTTTTATACTGTACAAACTGTATATTTTATCCCCTTACACTAACCCTATCCCTAACCCTAACCCTCCCTAAACCTACCCATCACACACACACACACACACACACACACACACACACACACACACACACACACACACACTAACCCTACCCCTAAACCTACCCATCACACACACACACACACACACACACACACACACACTAACCCTACCCCTCACACACACACACACACACACACACACACTAACCCTACCCCTAAACCTACCCATCACACACACACACACACTAACCCGACCCCTAAACCTACCCATCACACACACACACACACACACACACACACACACACTAACCCTACCCCTAAACCTACCCATCACACACACACACACACACACACACACTAACCCTACCCCTCACACACACACACACACACACACACACACACTAACCCTACCCCTAAACCTACCCATCACACACACACACACACACTAACCCTATCCCTAAACCTACCCATCACACACACACACACACACACACACACACACACACACACACACACTAACCCTACCCCTAAACCTACCCATCACACACACACACACACACACACACACACTAACCCGACCCCTAAACCTACCCCTCACACACACACACACACACACACAGACACACACACACACTAACCCTACCCCTAAACCTACCCATCACACACACACACACTAACCCTACCCCTAAACCTACCCATCACACACACACACACACACACACACTAACCCGACCCCTAAACCTACCCCTCACACACACACACACACACACACACACACACAGACACACACACACACTAACCCGACCCCTAAACCTACCCCTCACACACACACACACACACACACACACACTAACCCTACCCCTAAACCTACCCATCACACACACACACACACTAACCCTACCCCTAAACCTGCCCATCACACACACACACACTAACCCGACCCCTAAACCTACCCATCACACACACACACACACTAACCCTACCCCTAAACCTGCCCATCACACACACACACACTAACCCTACCCCTAAACCTACCCATCACACACACACACACACTAAACCTACCCATCACACACACACACACTAACCCTACCCCTAAACCTGCCCATCACAGAAAACATTCTGCTCTTTTACATTTTCTAAAAAACATCATTAAGTATGTTCATTAATCAATTTCCCTTACGTGGACCATTGGCTAGTCCTCACAATGTTGGTGATTTCAGGTTTTACTATTCTTGTGGGGACATTTGGTCCTCACAATGTAATAAAAACAAGAGCACACACACACACACACACACATACACACACACAGACAGAGACACACACACACACACACACACACACAGACACAGACACACACCTCGTAGACGGCGAGGTCTATGCCCGCATACGGGATGATGCCCAGTATATTGGGCAGGTATCCTTTATAAAAGGCCAGGAGGCCCTCCTTCAGCAGGATCTGCTTGGCACAGTCCGCCGCGCTCGAATACTGCCCTGTTTTACGAAGAGTGAGACGAGTCTTCAGCACCTGCAGAACCACAGAGAGAGAGTCGACACCACAACCGTATCCTGATCAGGAGGCTTCAGTGATTCATGCTTGGAAAACACTCCGACGTCTCATATTCAAAATAATGGCTAGTGCGGTGTCTGCGACATACATGAGCCTACCAGCATCCATTGCCATGATTTATCTTATCGCAAGAGGAAAAAATTATGTTTCAGTTGCATAACATCGGTTAATGGAAACGCCGTCATTTCTCAATAGTTTTTTTATTGACATTTAGAAAACATCTAAAACAGTTTTGCGCAAATCTGTAATGGAAATGCGACTAGTGAGACCTCAACATACAGAGTGACCTTGATGTTTACTGTGTGCCCTAACCAGCTGCCATGTGTGTGTGTGTGTGTGTGTGTGTGTGTGTGTGTGTGTGTGTGTGTGTGTGTGTGTGTGTGTGTGTGTGTGTGTGTGTGTGTGTACCTACTTAACTATATTTTGGGGACAAATTTGTTCCCAGAAGTGACCAAAACCTGACAAAATCTCCAAAAACCTCCCTTTAGGGACGTCATCATTTGTAAATCTGGTATAAAAATTAAGTAATTAAAGGTTTTTTAAAATGTAAAAATGCAGAAAGTTGTGTGTGATAGGTAAGTTTAGGGGTTGAGTTAGTGTGTGTGTGCGTGTGATGGGTAGGTTTTTGGGTCGGGTTTGTGTGTGTGTGTGTGTGTGATGGGTAGGTTTAGGGGCAGGGTTAGTGTAAGGAGACAAGTATACAGTTTGTACAGTATAAAAACCATTATGGAATTGTCCCCATTTAGATAGCTAAGTAAACGTGTGTGTGTGTGTGTTTACCTCCATCGGGTATATGATAGTTTGAGCTGTAGCTCCAGCCAGCGATCCAGCGACGAATCTCTCCTGAACTTTCAGAGTTCCTACTTCTTTACTGCCTCTCATCAAGCGCTTAATCTACAGACACACACACACACACACACACACACACACACACACAGAAGCGGGCTGAGCTTTTGACTGGCCGTCCACACAGCTGAGTGTAGAAGCCAGAGCTGTACCTGTTCGTAGGCCAGGAACTTGATGGCCGTCTCGGGTGCGATCTTCAGCACGTTGATGCCGTTTCCCCTCCACAGCGCAGCGAGTCCTCCTTCCTTCACCATCGCCCGGAGCCCGCGCCACACGTTCGCCTTATCTGAGCTCTGCCCGTGCACCTGCACAATCACCCACCCTCAGTTTAGCTTTAAAGGGGCAGTCTGTAAGAATGACAACTAGTGATTGAAATAGGTACTGCAGTCCAATTCAAAATATCAGAGATCGTCGTCTCTCCCGCTGGCTCCTCAGACTCGAGCGCACACGGGATGCCAGTTTAAGGACACGCAACAGGAACGAGCGAGCGCATTGGACAATGAAAATTAGCAACACAATATCACAGACCAAAGCAAAAACAAACATTCCAGCCTGGAAACGCACATTTCCTGAGTAAAATGAGTGGCTGTAGAAGTGTTTTTCAGAGAAACGAGTGTATTATGGTATTTGTATGCTTTAGTAGAGTGAAAAAGTTACATACAGCACCTTTAAATGCTTCAGTCAAACTAGATTAGAATAAAACAAAAGTTAGTTGGGGACATTTAATTTAATATCCAACAATATTATTGCTCTGCCTGCATTGACACCATTATACGAGAACTGAGCTGAGCTGGACGATGACATCACGGTTTTCTCCAGAGCGGCTATATATATAAATGCACTAAATTAATAACTTTTCTACAACAAAAATAAAACATCACTGAACTTCCTTAAGCTGAACTGTGTCGGTGTTTTCTTCTAGAAACAAACTTTGCTGCATTATTTTCCTGTTATCTCTGTAAAGCTGCTTTGAAACTCTATAAATAAAGGTGCGTTGACTTGACAAACACATCCTGACATAATAACTGAACAACTGTTGAGTTTCAGTCATATGACCTCCAGGGGTCAGTGTGGTCCTGGATATAATACATTCACACAGTGTGTTTGTTAGCTTGTAGAGCTGCACGATTAATGGTTCAAGTCCCTCTGTAGTCAATCATTTATCCTTAAATTACATATTACATTTGTTTTTTCCTTGAAATGCCTTCTTCATGCCATTTATCCTTGGAAAAAAAAATTATCTTGAATGTAACTCGACACCCTTGCCTCATTTAGTATGCGAGGTTCTATGAATATGCAAATGAGCCCCGCCTCCACTCACTCACTCAGCTCAGAGATTCACTGGTTGACGATCACACGTTGATCTGATTGGTTACAAGGTTACAAGCAGCTGTCGTGTATTAAACAGCTTCACAAACAGTCTTTTCAACCACACAGTATCATTATTTCTGTGTTACAAACACTCATATAAGTTTATAGTTCGGATATAAACACTAATGTCTACGGTAGCGATCAAAATAGAGCAAATCACCTTTTGGAAGTAGCATGGCGCTTCAAATAACGATTGTATCAATTACATCGTTACACCAGTAGGGGGCGACAAGTGACTGTTAGAAAATGTAGTAGTCATTGAATCGGTCACTCAATAGATTTGTTAAAAAAACGCTATTTCATCCAGTAATGAAACAAGCGAGTCGTTGAATCATTCATTCAAACCGATTTAAAAAAAAGAATTAATTCAGATTCATTTAACTTTTTAAATACACTGCAGCAATTTTATATTTTGTCATAACCTCTAGCAAATTACATGTTATTTTGTTTAGTTGTCTGTTCGGAAAAGAAATCGTGATTCTCAATTTATCTATAATCGTGCAGCAATACTAGATTGTACCGCGGTAGCTACATTGCTAGCATTTCGAAAGCAAAAGTGAATCTCCAAATGGAAATCTGGCATGAAATCTGCATCAAAGATTGTACAGATCTGTTTACTAGCCTGATGTTTTGTCTCACCTGCATGAAGACCTTGAGTCTGTCGAGCGGCGCCGTTCCTGTCCTGGACACTGATCCCGCCACAGCGCCGGCCATCAGCTGCCGCCACACGAACCCTGACTGCTTCTCCTTCTCCGAGAACTCATCCGGGACCGTCAAATGCTCTCCGATATCCAACATCTACACCAAACGCACAACCGCATTCACACCGTGGAGTTAAAGAAAGAAAGAGGCTTGTTTTATAGTCTCAGCTGTGTGTGATTTGCTTCGTACCACAGAGTGTTTCCAAAACTGAGCGATTTCCTCCATGTTGTGCAAAGGGTTAAACAGGAAGTGATCTCGCCACTCCATCCAGTCGATGGTCATGGAATGGTCTTTGTCCATACTGAATGAATACATTTCAGAAGTATTGGGTGTCACAGAATCACTTAAAGGCAATTCAAGGCACTTTACATACATGCTAAGCACAAACGCGCGCACCTTTGCAGTATTTTGGCAGCCAGTTCCAACGAGACGTCCACGCCGAGACTCTGTAACGACTGCTGGATCTCCTCAGCGTCAACTTCACCTACAAAACACAAACGGGGATAGATACTAACATTGATGCAATAGCATAGCTGCTAATGATACTGTGAGGCTAAGCTAACAGGGATGTAAGTGTTAACAGTAATATCACAGGTGCTACATCGAATCTGACGTTTTAAAGCTTAAGAATGATTCAAAAGTATAGATGCTAATGGTAAATTGAGGGTATAGATGCTAATAATGATGCAATAGCATAGCTGCTAATGATACTGTGAGGCTATGCTAACAGTGCTGACAAGTGTTAAAAGTAATATCATTCACAGCTGCTAATATGAATGTTTTAAAGCTTAAGAATGATTCAGAAATATCGATGCTTATGGTAAATTTAGGGTAGGCTATAGATGCTAACAACGATGCAATAGCATAGCTGCTAAAGATACTGTGAGGCTAAGCTAACAGGGATGTAAGTGTTAACAGTAATATCACAGCTGCTAATACGAATATAATGTATTAGAGCTTAAGAATGATTCAGAAATATAGATGCTAATGGTAAATTGAGGGTATAGATGCTAATAATGATGCAATAGCATACCTGCTAACGATACTGTGAGGCTATGCTAACAGTGCTGACAAGTGTTAAAAGTAATATCACAGCTGCTAATACGAATATGATTTTTTAAAGCTTAAGAATGATTCAAAAGTATAGATGCTAACGGTAAATGTAGGGTATAGATGCTAACAACGATGCAATAGCATAGCTGCTATTAAAACTATGAGGTTATGTATAACAGTGATGTAATAGTGCTTAAGGTAATATCATAGCTGGTAATGCTAATTTGACGTTATAGATCCCAAAGTATTGATGCTAATATGAGGAAATAGATGCTAGCAGTGAGATAAAAATCACAGACGCTAATGCTAATATAAGGTTATAGGTGCTCACAGTGGTGTAATGCTATAAATTTTAAGACTATTATGAGGTTATAGATGGAAATATTAATTATTTTATCTATAACTTGAACAAAGTAAAATTAAGACATAAAAATTATGTTGCATATTCACAGACAGATCCTGACCAGTGTTGTTATTGTTAACTAAAACTATTAAAAAAAACTGAAATCAAATCAAATATAAATATTAGATGAAAACCCTAAACTTAAAAACTTAAACAAAAAAAAACCAAAGAAATGTTGCATTGGCAACTTACTGAAATAAAACACGGTAGTTGAAGTACTAAAATTGCTAAAACTGAAATAAAAATCAATTAAAGCTAAATATATATATTTATATATATATATATACATTTTTTTTTTATTAAATATATTTTAAAGTAATCAAAATGACAAAAGCACACATTAAAATTACTAAAAATAAAATATAAAAATAAAAGCTAATTCAAAATATTAATAAATATTATTATAATAGAATAAAAATAATGCTAAAATAACAGAGATTCTCCCAGTAATGAGAAGCTGACAGAAACCAACCGTCATTGTTCCGGTCCAAGCTGCGAAACATGAGTTTGAGGCGCTTCTCATGTGAACGCAGATACTCTGTGAACTCTTCGAAATCCAGCTGACCGTCGTGATTGATGTCCCCGGCTCGAACAACCTGCTGAATATATGGGCATACAGAGAGAGAGAGAGAGAGAGAGAGAGAGGGAGAGGGAGAGAGAGAGAGAGAGAGAGAGAGAGAGAGAGAGAGAGAGAGAGAGAGAGAGAGGGAGAGGGAGAGAGAGAGAGAGAGAGAGAGAGAGAAATGGGGGGAAAGAGGGATGCCAGGAATCATTAGGAGAGATGGGATGAGGGGTGCAAATGAAGAAGAAAAGCACATTAAAATTATGCAAAGCCACCAGCAATCAGAGCTCAGACGGTCAGTTTCTGCCATTAACCCTTAAACGCCGCACACCTCGGGGCTTTAATGACGCGGGACGTCATTCACTAACCTCCTCCTCATTCATTTTTTAAAGTTAGACATTAACCTTCATAGTATTCCTCAATCAATCAAGCTATCAACAACATATCAGGGAAAAAATCAATTCAATTTTAAAAGAGTTCCTGTTTTCCCCTTCATTTTGTATAAAAATTGTATAGGGTCGCTAACGACCCGAGGTGTGTAACAGTGTAAGTGTATTTTTTTTCTGCACAACAAGAAGGCCTTGTCCACACTAACACATTTTCATTTGAAAAACCCATCTTTTTCTCTCCGTTTTAGCGCCGTTTTCGTGTTGTAGTGTGGACTGTGAAAACGCAGGCATTTAAAAACGATGACGCAAGTTTAGTCATGTGACACATCGTTTCCAAATCTATCCAGATTAATGTAGACGAGGCGTAATGAATCTTTGACGACTAAATAAGTGCACTTTTTTTCCACAAGGTGGCACTGGCTGAAACACAATGATGAAGTGAAGTTTCACTCATAGTCACTGCAGGCAGAAAACAAAAGAATAGGAAGAATCATCAGCAAAACTTGAAATTGCTCAGTGATTTAATTTGGTGAAGAAGCTGCCAGCGATCAAAATGTTGATTTTGGAGATGTTGATTTTAAAGATGTTTGAGATTGTGAATATGAGCCAGATGCTGAATGTACTGGGAAATGAGCTCTGACAAGGACCGTGATGGCGGTATAAAACATCAGCTCAAAATGAACGCTTCCAGAGCTCCAAAAGATAACAAAACATCCTTTATTTTATTCCTCCGTAATTGTTACTCTAATATCGGGAGAGTTTTATTAATCGGGCGATTTATTATCACGACAGGTGTGTTAGATATAGGCAAGGCAAGTTTATTTATATAGCACATTTCATACATAATGGTAATTCAAAGTGCTTTACATAGAAGAAATTAAAATAATCAAAAGAAATAAGAATAATTAAAACAATATAGATTCCTGCATTTAAGGGTTAATCACTGAATCTGAACATAGTTATCCAATGAAGACAACAGAGAAAGCCAAGCGCAAAACAGCAGCCTGATAATGAGTTCTTAAAGGGATAGTTCACCCAAAACTCATCATTTACTCACTAGTGTTTTTGTAGTGTTATATCGTGCTTGTTGAGGTTTGGATGTTACTTTACTTTACTGCCGTACCATGAGAGCAGCAGGCGTAATGATATGACGCAGCGCCTGAAAATAGTTCCGTTGTGTTGACGGAAGGTAGCCTATTTTCAGGCGCTGCGTCATATCATTACGCCTGCTGCTCTCATGGTACGGCAGTAATTTCTTGATTATTACGCAGGAATGAGAGTATAGTTCCTAGTCATATCAGCCTAGAAAATCGCAACTTTACATTTTCCGTCGGTCTTAGTGCACGATGTAACTACAGAAGAGTCAAGGTTTAAATAGGAAAAATATCGAAACATCGAAACAAAATATCGGTCTTTTTTTTGTTGAGAAATGCTTATGGTCTTGTCCACTTCAATGATGTATGCTAAGCTATGCTAAAAGTGGTACCGCCAGAACCGGAGATCGGCTGAATGGATTCAAAAACGGTAAAACTCAACAGTGTAACTCTGGGGGAGTTGTAAAATGAGCCTATTTCCAAAAAAAGTGGAGTATCCCTTTCTATTGCAAAGTTGAAGAACCTTCTTTCAAGCAAAGATTTAGAAGTCGCAATTCATGCATTTGTAACATCTCGATTAGACTATTGCAACTCTCTTTATTGTGGTCTTCCTCAATCTTCATTTTCTCGATTACAAATTGTTCAAATTGTTCAGCTGCAAGACTGTTGACTGGGTCTAGAAAGAGGGATCATATTTCTCCTGTTTTAGCATTCAAGTTTAGAGTTGATTTTAAGATCCTTATGTTTGTCTATAAGGCGTTGTCTGGCTGTGCACCAAGGTATATTTGTGATCTTTTTGTGCCATACTGTCCTGCTAGGGCACTTAGATCTTCAAATCACTTGCTTTTAAATGTGTCACGATGTCACTACAAATTAAAGGGTGATCGGGCCTTTTCTGTGGCTGGGCCCAAGCTTTGGACTGCTCTCCCGTATCATGCGAGGTCTGCTCCTTCATTGGACATTTTTAAATCTACTCTGAAAACACATTTTTATTCTTTAGCTTTTGGAAACTTGTAATTTGTTGGGGTTTTTTATAGCGTAGTCCTGCTATGCACTATGTACAGCACTTTGGATCAATTTGTATTGTGTTAAATGTGCTTTATAAATAAAGGTTGTTGTTGTTGTTGTTGTACACATGTGCCAGATGTGAGCCGGATCTGAGCCGACACTATATTAGTGTCTGGGATGTGAAGGAAGCATAAATATTTCTGATGGGCTGCACGATATTGAAGGAAAATGTGATATGCGATAATGCATAAAATAATGTGATATTCGATATGCGATACGATAATGCTTGAAGTGTGTAAAATAAACTTAAATTATCTTTAAAATATATTTAAAGATATATAACCTACATACGCGTTTCACATTCTTCTTGTGACAATAAAACATCCCTACAACTTCTGAAAGTGAACAGCAGTGTTTTACTGTCGCATAAGTGTTATTTTAACATCAGTGTAAAGCACGGGTTCAGGTTATCCTACATTAGGGTTATTTAAAGGTGCAATGTGTAACATTTTTGAGTATCTATTAACAGAAATGCAATATGACATCCATAACTATGTGTTCAGTGGTGTATAAAGAACTTACTTAATAAACCGTAATGTTTTTATTACCTTAGAATGAGGCATTTATATCTACATAGGCGCGGGAATCCCCTTCTATGAAGGTCGCCATATTGTGACGTCATGTTTCTACTGTAGCCGAACGCGAACAAACAGCGCTACAGAGCGCGTTTCGTCACTACATTGAAAGAGAAGCCGCAGGAAGCTAGAAGAAGCTAGCCATAAACACCGTGAGTAGTGACTTTTCCCTTGTCAGTGGTGTAAATATGCAGCTGGATTGTTTCATGTAACTTAATTCTTCTCCCTCGCTGTGTTATGGCTTTGCTATGTGGGGATAAATGTGCTGGTTAAGTTCGTGAGACAGCTGATTAGTACTCTTGTCATTGACCGTAAAACAGTTACAGGAATCACCAACCCGTCGATCTTGGAAGCATTTTAAGTCGATCGAGTTTCCAAAATCAGAGAAAAAAAGCCTATTGTGTGTAGTTAGTAAGTGGTGTCTAGGGGATGCCGAGGCGCGCGCGCTGTTACAATCACGTCATTTCTGCCGCGCGCACCTTTGGGCTCATGCGGACGCGTCGAGTTTAAACAAGGCTTTACGCTTTAACCAGCTCAGCCACAGTAACAGCTCATATTAGCCAGCTAAACCTTTACTGCCCTGTTAGAAAACATATATAGTTGCATAGTTTCATGTGGTTCTTCTCCCTCGCTGTATTATGGGTTTGCTATGTGGGGAGAATGTGCTGGTTACGTTCGTGAGACAATCAGCTGATTACTATTACTATATTATGTATTAAGACCCTTGATCCTCACCTGAAACTTTATCCATGATGTGGTTTATAATGGACTGTGGTACAGAAACTTGGTTTACGCTGGCTATTCTCTGCTGTCTCAGACGACGATGTTTGTCCCGTTTTAGCCACCGTAGCTTCTCCGAAAGGGAGGGGTGAGCGGTGGGCTGAGCCCTTAGTGCAAACTCGCAACCGAACCGCTAGATGTCGCTAAAAGTCACACACTGCACCTTTAACAACAGAAACTGAATAATCAAATGTAAAAATAAAACACTGCTTAGTTTTCACTATATGAATTAAATATATACAGATTCTTATATTAAAGCTACAGACGTTATTCAGCCGAGAACAGCGAGTGATTTTCTCTGTCTTTTGTTCATGACCGCAGTTATTGCAAGCCGTTGCGATATATACATTTGCCATATTTCGATATATTGTGCAGCCCTAGATTCTATCCATAACTTCTGTCCCTAGAGAGTTGTGGGAATAATCATCCATCTGGCTCTGAACTACAAATTAGAAGAAAAGAAAAATACACCGAGTTTTTTTCTCAGGGTGTCGCCCCATGACATTCCCAGAGCAGCGTGTCTGAACGTGTTTGGCCTGATCTGTGCAAACTTAGAGGATTAGAGAGGCATTTCGCAGCAGGTCTCAGGGCTTTTGGGGTTTTAAAATCAGCTCAATTTTATAGAGAGGACATTGTGAACAAACTGACCCACATTGACTAAATAATAAATTAATCAGGATGCACAGGTTACTGTCGCTTTAAATCCACACTGGCACTCATTCCAGTGTTCATTATCATTATTCCCACAATCTCTGGTATGTTATAGAGTAAACTGCCCTGTAAGAGAACATCTGCCAGTAATCTCACTGATTTCATGCCTCCTCTGTGTGTAGACGTCTACACAATGTGTGTTGTTGTGTGTACTTATGTGAGCCAGCAGTCACATGGTATTTACTCTCACATGGATCGACTCCAAGACGCTGACCTTTTGCACACTCTACAGCCAACGTGTGTATTTCTGTGAGCATGCGTTGGTGTGAAGTTTAATACTTTCGTCTCAATATACATTCATCCTCCTCATGCATAATGCAAATACATTAACACACGCATAGCACACGTGTCAACTTTAACATCCAAACCTCAACAAGCACTACATAACCACACTACAAAATCCTCAACTTCAAGTAAAATAAATCAATGACACAAAGATGTTCGCAGGCAAACAGATCAATAACCCACAGTAATCAATGTGCTGGACTATAAACTACAGGTTTGGAGTGCAGTGTGTTGGTATATAAACAGCATGCCATGGAGAGATTAGATAACTCAGATTTATTTAACGCCTGTGTGTGTGTCTGTTTTGATAACTTCTCATTGTTTGGTTTCCTAGGCCTTGGGTTTGACCTGCTGACATTATATTATAGCAAGAAACAGTGGTTTGAGCAAATCACTAGACCAAAGTGTGAGCAGAAATAGTGATTGACTTTGCTAACCCCATTATTTACTAACCCTTATTCTTAAGATCATGCACCGCTGGTGACGTGGGTAGACGCCTTACACTAGTCTGCTGGATTATTTCAGATGGCAGGTGATGCTGATTTAGTGCCAGCGGGTGATATTGCCCTTCCTCTGCTCCTGCCACTGACCTTGCCTTGAGATCATTAACTATTAAAATCATATACTGGTTCATTAGTGCTGCAGGACACGATAGTTCCTGACGCCGGCCTTAGAAACAAGAATCCTGCTTTTCAGTCTTACTTTCACCACATGAAGCATTAAGAGTTTAATTATGTTGGTAAGTATCCGTATAATGGGTTATACTCTCACTAATGGCTCCAGCACATCTTTCTAATCTAAACTTAACATCAGAAGCAAGTACACAATGTCCAGCACACGATTTAGGACGCAGCCTTTATCTTTAGACCTAAGCTGGGAAGCCCCGCCCACTGTACAATCTCATTGGTCCATTATTGAATAATAAGCATCAGATATAATCTGATTGGCTGCGATTATATCGCGTACTGCAGCATTTTCACTTTCAGTATTTGGACAAATTACGCTTAGGATCACGTGACCTGCAGGAGGTGCAGGTTATTAGCATCTCCAAATCTGCCATTAAATCATAAACCTGTCTATTCATAGAGTGAATCTGTTCTATAAATAGGCTACCCTTCCGTTATGTCTGTCTGTCTGTCTGTCTGTGTGTGTGTGTGTGTGTCTGTCTGTGTGTGTGTGTCTGTCTGTCTGTCTGTGTGTGTGTGTGTATTGGGTTTCTTTTCTTCCGTACCTCCTCCACGGAGCTCCACGACACCCCGCGGGCGGCGAGCCCGATCCGCAGCTCGTTCACATCGATCCACCCGTCCTTGTTCAGGTCCAGTTGCTCGAATAGTTCGGCCCAGAGACGCTCGCGCTCGGGATCTGTCCCGCTGTCCTGGCAACGCGCCCTCGTCCACATGATGACGATATACCCGCACGGTAACGGTAACGGTCACCCGTGTAAACGCATCGGTCAAAAAGACGGAAGACCTTCGCGTTCAGCGCGCGTCCAAAAAAGGAGCTGTTCGCGAAATAAAACCCCTCGCGTTTCGAAGATGGTGTGAACCAGCTGTGTGTGTGTGAGTGTGTGTGTGTCGCTACCAGAACCAGGAAGCTTTCACAATCATGGATACACCACTTCCAAGAAATCCACGCGAAATCCACCTGTTTTTATCCCATAAGCACTGCGATGTTTTAAAGCGAGCTGAAAGTACCGCGCATTAAAACATGATGAACGTGTGTGTGTGTGTGTGTGTGTGTGTCACTCGAGGACTGCAGTGAGTTACTGCTGCCGCAACTCACCGATACAACAGCGGCTTCAGATTACACCCTCAGGAGGGACTTCCTAACAGCATATGGGTGATATACCAGCAGATGTGGACAAAATATCCCGAAGTATCAATAGAGAAGTGTTAAATCTGGACTAATTATTAAATGCAGCGACTTCTTTCCGAGTCAATCACCAATGCAGATAAATACAGTAGTTGCGCGCGGAGGTGTTTGGAAATCTGAGGCAAAGTCCTCAGTTTTTTTAAATGTGTTTTATATATCAAATATAAATTAATGTCCCAGTGACCCTGGTAAAATAGTACTTTACATTACATTAAAAAATATATAATAATAATAATACATTTTATATTTAGCATTTTTCATTACTGTGGCCTAATGTTCTATTTATTAAAACCAAGAATAAATCTCATCAAGTTGAGCATTTTTACATTTATTCCAAAATAATAACTGAAGGCAGTAACAGTTAAAACAATATATTTTCATGTGTGAACTGATGTGCAGCTGTTCTTTTTAATAGTAAACTTATTTTCGGATCATCTGTCATCAACCTCGGTAAACAAACACAATTTGAATATACCCGAGCTGATTCCTCACTAAACCCCCTGTCATCATGCTTTCAGGTCATTTCAAGATTTGATTTTGACGTGACATAAAGCGGTGATGATAAGTGTGCGTGTTTACTTGCTTTTTTATAAGGCCATCATTTTGTTCATTCGGCTGACTCGCGCACGAAAACAAGAGGCGGGATTTATCGCACGAACCAATCATATCCAATCATAACCGATCACATCCAATCACAGCGCGATGGAGGCATTGGCTCCCATTCATTCTCAATTTATGAATATGCAGATGAGCCCCGCCTCCACTCACTCACTCAGCTCAGAGATCCACTGGTTGACGATCACACGTTGATCTGATTGGTTACAAGGTGGTGTGTCAGAAACACCAGCGATTTCAAACCGTGTTTTTGAGACTGTCTTTGGTTCACTGCAGTTTTAAGCAGAAAATACTCAGCAATTCTGTCGACTTATGAATTTACAAATATTAAAAACACCACAGAGACATATAAACAACATTAAAAATTTGATTTGAACCAAAAGGGAGACTTTAAGGTTTAGGAGGAAGTGGGTTTGCAAGGTTTCAGAATATGTTTCAGTGAATCAGAAACCACAGAGGAACACATAGTCAAGCAAAGTAAGTGAAACGATTAAAGGCCCGTTCACACCAACAACGATAACTATATTAGCGTATCGTTCTGTTTATTTTAAGCGCGCTTGTCTGTCTAAGCTCGTTACAGCAGGGTGGATTCTGATTGGCTGTCAATGTTTTTAACGCTCATCAGCTGGATAAAACAGTCCTGAAAGTGATTTCAACAATATTGTTTCTCTGTGCCGTTATCGGCAAAGCTGTGGTGTGAACTCTGCTCTTTAATACTGGGAACAATTTTTTGAACTATCTTAAAGGGGTCATATAATGCCATTTTCATACAAGTTAATTTGATTCTTTAGGGTCTAAATGAAAAGTTTGTAATATACTTTAATTAAAAATTCTCATTAGTATTGTAAGAAAACACTTATTTTACCTGGTCAAAAACAACTCTGTTTTCAGCACGCCGTTTCAGTGCATATGACTTTAAATGATAATGAGCTTTGCTGACTCCGCCCCTCTGTTTTCTTTGAGGCGTTTTGACCATAGATATCCACAATAAAGGGTCTGTGTTGAAACGCTGCTGTCAATCAACAATCGCGGGAGGGGCGTCCGACCGTGTGACGTCACACGGTCGAACGGCTCGATTTGAGGCAGGGGAAAACATAAGGAGATTAAAACAAAAACACTGGATGGATTTTTATCATTATATGATGGTTGTGTACAGGCACCGCCAACACACATTTCAGTACAATCAACTTGAAAAAGTGCATGTACCATTATATGACCCCTTTAATATCGTTATCATCCTTGGTGTGAACTGCCTTTAAGAGTAGACAAACACATCTAATACGAAAAATAGCTGGTTTTGTGTGGTTAGATGGTCCAAACTGGTTGTTTATGATCATAAGCCGGTCTAGATGAGCTAAACTGCTAACCAGTTTTTAATCTGGTAGAGAGACCATAATGATCAGTTTGGTTAGACCTAGTAGACCTCCAGACAAAGCTATATGTGCTAAAACCAGTTTGACCACCTTAAAGGGTGGATATTTTACCCAAATATTCAGACTATTTACTCACCCTAATGTCTTTCTTCCATGGAACACAAACAAGAAGATATTTGTATACAAGTTTTTTTTTAAATGAATGGGGACAAAAAATATCAAGATTAATTTGTCATTTGATTGATTTATGTGAGGAACAGCCTTTTTTTTTTAACCAAACCTTCTGTTTTTTGCTGAAACTATCTATTTAGTTTGTTGTCAGTTTTCCAGCAGTGTCTGAAAGAGAAAATTATGCAACATGAGAACAACAATAATGTTAATTTTAAATGCATTCACTATCACTTCATCATCTTAAATGCAACGATCAATAACAGAGTTGAGTGACTGGAAACAACCTATTCCATGCTAACACAGACAGGTGATACACACACACACACACACACACACACACACAGAGATAACACACTGCACACCTGTTCCTTCAGCCGCCTTTCCCGACACAAATACAGGTGATACACACACACACACTCGCTGTCAGCTGCTGTTCACACTAACTGTATGAACGTCAACACGAAGCACAGTCATTGTGTTGTGTTCTCACCCGACAGCTGTGTGTTGTTTTATACTGGCCGGATCAGATGAATGTCTCTATATAAGAGCAGGGCGGCGAGACGGACGGCGCTGGAGACGCTGGATCGTGTCCTCGAGCTCGGGTCTCAGGTCCTGCGATGTGTAAGGGGTTGTCCGCCATCCCCGCCTCATGCCTGGAGAAGTGAGTATGCGTGCTTGTGGAAACACAGGTTGTGCTGACGCATGAAACCGTTGATGGGTGTGAAAGTGTCTTGATGTTTCAGGGCGAAGGGCATGAGGGTGAAGCTGTCCCACCTGGCCGAAAAACAGGAGTGGGTTTACAAACACAGGTAACACAACTGCACCGCTCTCATTTAAAGTCATTTTTTGCGTTCAGGACAAGTTAAGCTCAATCAACTGCATTTGTGGAATAATGTTGATGATTACCACAAAAATGTCCACATTCTCCTTTTCTTCACAGAAAAAATCTTGGGGTAAGGCCCGTTTACACTATAAACTATATGAATCTAATGTTAGAATTATAACGTTTTGTTTATTATAAGCTCGTGCTTTGGGTCTGTAAATGTTAAAATAACATTTCAATAATAAAGCCCACAAGATGTAAGCAATATTTGGGTTTACATAATTTTAGGGTAAACAAAATTCCATACTAACCTTAACGTATAGAGTTTCTTCATTGGAATGGTATGAAGGTTTTGGCACTTGCTACACACACACACACACACACACACACACACAAAGTCATGGATATGATTTGAAAAGGTTAAATGGTCCTGAAAAAAATGCTTACACTTTTACTGTTCGCAGACAAAAAAAATGTTGACAGCATTAGAAATGAATGGGAAAAGAGAAAAGTTTGGTTCTGCGCCCCAACAAAATCTTACTGAAAGCGTTTTTATTATTATATATATCTCAACCACAAATTTGTAACACAACTTGTTTGGCTTTGACTTTGAAAGTTTCTCAGCACTTAGAGTAAAACATACTTCGGAAAATATATATTTCATATAAAAACTGAAAGTACCCTATAGTATTTTTCTACGATTTATGATAGTTGCAAGTTGGAAATTTCAGGTCTGCTGAATGAATGGATTATAACTATCATTTATATATACATTAGAGTTTATAACTTATAAACTCTAATTTATAACTACAATTTATAGTTATAAATATAATTTAGTACCATAAAATCCAATTAAAATACAAAATATTACATAAAAAAACATTATCGAACTAAAATATACGGTAGTAGGCCTACATTCATCTCATTAGGGGAAAAAATCGTTAAGTTTTAACCGCCATCACCAGAGCGGGAAACCCGACCGTTAATCATGACGAATGAGAACTTTGACGCTGAAATAGCGATTACAAGTTAAGACTATTTAAGGTTAATTAAAATAAAAAAAACTACATAAAATGTAGGCTATGCTTCATGTTTCTGATTTAATTTATTTTTTGCATCAAGTGTCTCACAAATGACTTTCTTTGTAAAAAAAAACGAGGTGCGCGTTGAGGTAATTTTTTTGGTAATAAAATACTATATGATTGAGGTTAACTTGATCATAACCCTGAGTACTAATTTGAGACATAAACAAGCTCAACAAAGCATATTTGTTTCTTCAGAGCGAATGAGGAAAAGCTGCCACAGGACTTGGAGTCTCTGCTCAACAGCAAACGTGAGTAGCCTACTCTATTAAACCTCAGCTCGCAACTTCCACTTTTGTCCTTAAAACTGAAACTGCTCTACAGTGTGCAGGAGTGTGTTATTAACCTGTGCAGGTGTGTCCGCAGTGGGCCTGCAGGCCTTCCGCTGGTTCCTGCGCTCGGAGTTCAGCGAGGAGAACCTGGAGTTCTGGCTGGCGTGCGAAGAGTACAAGAACTCTTACGGACCCAAACTGGCGGGAAAAGCCCAGTGCATCTACAACCAGTTCATCAACCCCGAAGCTCCTCGGGAGGTGAGGACCAATTATTAGGGGCCAAGTGAATTATTTAGATTAAATGTTTTAATTTTAAGCAGATAAATACAAATATTTATAAATATATATTTAGGGCTGTCAAATCAATTAATCACATACAACATTAGTTTTTTTGTTTACAGTGTGTGTGTGTGTGTGTTTATATGTATGTGCCTGTGTGTATGTGTGTGCCATATATTCGACAGCACTAATATTAGTGTGTGTATGTGTATATATATATATATATATATATATATATATATATATATATATATATATAAAATCAACAATAAAAAGTGTATTCATTAACACGGTAACTCTTTACAATAAGGTTCATTAGTTAACATCCTTATTTAACATGAACTAAGAATGAACAATACTTCAGCATTTATTAATCTTAGTTTTTATTCTTTACATTTACTAATACGTTATTAAAATCAAAGGTTGTATATGTTAACATTAGTTAATGCACTGTTAACTAATATGAACAGCTGTATTTTTATTAACAAAGATCAATAAATACTGTAACAAATGCATTTCTCATTGTTAGTTAATTTTAGTAAAATACATTAATGAACCTTATTTTTAAGTGTTACCACCCATTTTTAAATATATGCATTTATTAAAATATACAGATAACACAATATGTATGTATTACATATGTACAATAATTGTATGCATTTTATTTAAATCTGTATAATGATGCATTTATTTGAATATTTACTTCAATTAATATATCTATTTTTGCATTGCAAGAGAATTTGCAGAGAAATGTGTAACTGTAAAGCGTTACAATGCAAAACACATCTTTATGGTCCTAAAAACAGGCTTTGTTTAATTGTTCTAAAGCACTCTGATTTTGAACTATGAGGCAGACATGTCCTCGACTCTCAGCTGACAGTACATGTTTCTCAGGTGAATCTGGACAGCGAGACGCGCGAGGGGTTAACGGGGCTGATGCAGGAACCCACGGCGGACACGTTTGATGAGGCTCAGCATCGCATCTTCTCCCTGATGGCCAAGGACTCGTTCCCTCGCTTCCAGCGCTCCCTCAGAGTCCTGTAAACCCTCGGCTAGGGCGTAGTTTAGTAGGACATGAACTCTTCAGCCATGTCAAAACTTGTGTAATTGCTCCCTGTGTGCCTTTGTATGTTTAAACCTGCTGATTTAATAAAGTAACTTGCATCAAAATGGGAGTGGTGTGTAATGAAAGCAAGCTGTCAATCACACTGAGAGCCAATCAGTGGAAGCAAAATAAAGCAGCGAGGAAAACCTTCAGGGATTTTAAACTCACATCCTAATAAAGTGTGTGTGGTTGCTTAACGGTGGAAAATCTTGCTCTGGTTTATGAGATAAACACACAAAGAAGGGAAAGAGGGCTATACAAATAGTTTATATGCTTATAAAATGAAGTAGATTTAAGTGCTTGCCCATGACAAAATCTCTGTCACAGGAATAATATATTATGAAAGCTCACAATCTTTTACCATTTTATTCTATAAAAATAACAGACATTTCTCAAGGATCATGGTCTGTTGTGCAGTATCAGTCAATGGGAAGTTGTGTTTTTATATCGCGTCATCTAGCGGCTGTACGGATATGACGTCATTATCCTGACATCAGATCTGTCGTGTTATTGAGATGATAAAATAAAAACAGTTATTTAGATGATCCAGGAGCTGATTTTGGCTGTCCGGGTGTCCCGCCTTTCCTCGCTGGGGTTTTCAGCACACTCAGTTTCTTATGAAGAGTCAAGCTGGCCTTCTGTGTGACTTCATGTTCAATCCTGTTCCTGATGGCCACATCCAAACCCTGCACAAACAAAACATGTTTTACACCCATTAAATCACTATTATTGGACACATACGGATTTTGACGGAGGACTGAACCATGTGTTTTACCTTCTTCAGCTTCTGCTGTTGGACAACTCGTGCTTTTTTGGGTGCGATGGTCCTTCCTGGAACAAACAGGGCACTGAATACACTCACATGTGGCTATTTTTGGAAACAAATACTATATCTGTCATAGAATTATATTGTAAAAGTAGTGATTATATACACTAGAATTCAGCAATGGAGAGTTTACGCAGAAAAAGTGCGCATGCGCGTCTGTTCATTAGCAAATGCGTACACTTAGCATGCTGCTAATGATGAGGAGTCTCTATTTAGCGCGTTTACGGTCAGAAGAACAGCGGCTCCTCAAGAACACACGATGTTTACCTCCTTTCTTGAGTCCTTTCGGCTTTTGTATGTGCTTTTTCGCTCCGACCCGCTGCGCTTTAAATTTCTGTTTGCCTTGCGCCATTTCTACAGTCTGATGGCAACCGGAAGCAGAAAGACGGAAGACACGAAATAGAATAAAAGTCTTTAAAAACCACTAGAGTGAAATCTAAATTAAAAGTCTCTTCTGAGCGACAGAGTGTGAGTGTGTGTGTGTGTGTGTGTGTGTGTGTGTGTGTGTGTGTGTAACAATCATTATCAATTAAATGTACGTTATTACATTTATTTATTTTAAACAACACAGTAAATGTATCCAGTAAATGAATTAGAAACAAATATATAAATTTAATATATATATATCATTTATTTTATTTAGTGTGGGTGTGTGTGTACTGTTACATACCGTTTCACACTCGGATTTTAAAACTTAGTAAATATATATTTAATCATTTTCTGTAAATATGTCTTGACAGCATGATAAAAAAAACCCCCTCAAAATAGCATTCATATTTTATATTACTTTCAGTTCATTATTCACATTGGAAGAGAATATTGCATGATTGACATTTTCCCATGCATACAGAAAATGTGCATACTGTACA